CCCGGGTTAGATAAGGTCCACAACTCTCATTGCTTGTCTCCCGTCAAGACCCGGGTTAGAAAAGGTCCACAACTCTCTACTGCTTGTCTCCCGTCAAGACCCGGGTTAGATAAGGTCCACAGCTCTCTACTGCTTGTCTCCCGTCAAGACCCGGGTTAGATAAGGTCCACAACTCTCTACTGCTTGTCTCCCGTCAAGACCCGGGTTAGATAAGGTCCACAGCTCTCTACTGCTTGTCTCCCGTCAAGACCCGGGTTAGATAAAGTCCACAGCTCTCTACTGCCTGTCTCCTGTCAAGACCCGGGTTAGATAAGGTCCACAGCTCTCTACTGCCTGTCTCCTGTCAAGACCCGGGTTAGATAAGGTCCACAGCTCTCTACTGCTTGTCTCCCGTCAAGACCCGGGTTAGATAAGGTCCACAGCTCTCTACTGCCTGTCTCCTGTCAAGACCCGGGTTAGATAAGGTCCACAGCTCTCTACTGCTTGTCTCCCGTCAAGACCCGGGTTAGATAAGGTCCACAGCTCTCTATTGCTTGTCTCCCGTCAAGACCCGGATTACATAAGGTCCACAGCTCTCTACTGCTTGTCTCCCGTCAAGACCCGGGTTAGATAAGGTCCACAGCTCTCTATTGCTTGTCTCCCGTCAAGACCCGGATTACATAAGGTCCACAGCTCTCTATTGCTTGTCTCCTGTCAAGACCCGGATTACATAAGGTCCACAGCTCTCTATTGCTTGTCTCCCGTCAAGACCCGGGTTATATAAGGTCCACAGCTCTCTATTGCTTGTCTCCCGTCAAGACCCGGGTTAGATAAGGTCCACAGTTCTCTACTGCTTGTCTCCCGTCAAGACCCGGGTTAGATAAGGTCCACAACTCTCTATTGCTTGTCTCCCGTCAAGACCCGGGTTAGATAAGGTCCACAGTTCTCTACTGCTTGTCTCCCGTCAAGACCCGGGTTAGATAAGGTCCACAGTTCTCTACTGCTTGTCTCCCGTCAAGACCCGGGTTAGATAAGGTCCACAGTTCTCTACTGCTTGTCTCCCGTCAAGACCCGGGTTAGATAAGGTCCACAGCTCTCTATTGCTTGTCCCCCGTCAAGACCCGGGTTAGATAAAGTCCACAACTCTCTATTGCTTGTCCCCCGTCAAGACCCGGATTACATAAGGTCCACAGCTCTCTATTGCTTGTCCCCCGTCAAGACCCGGATTACATAAGGTCCACAGCTCTCTATTGCTTGTCTCCCGTCAAGACCCGGGTTAGATAAAGTCCACAGCTCTCTATTGCTTGTCTCCCGTCAAGACCCGGGTTAGATAAAGTCCACAGCTCTCTATTGCTTGTCTCCCGTCAAGACCCGGGTTAGATAAAGTCCACAGCTCTCTATTGCTTGTCTCCCGTCAAGACCCGGGTTAGATAAAGTCCACAGCTCTCTATTGCTTGTCTCCCGTCAAGACCCGGGTTAGATAAAGTCCACAGCTCTCTATTCTTTATCTCCCGTCAATCACTGGATTGTCTGGTCCAGACTCGATTATTAACAGATCGCCGTCATATAGCTGGAATATTGTTTCCGTCAAGACCCGGGTTAGATAAAGTCCACAGCTCTCTATTGCTTGTCTCCCGTCAAGACCCGGGTTAGATAAAGTCCACAGCTCTCTATTGCTTGTCTCCCGTCAAGACCCGGGTTAGATAAAGTCCACAGCTCTCTATTGCTTGTCTCCCGTCAAGACCCGGGTTAGATAAAGTCCACAGCTCTCTATTCTTTATCTCCCGTCAATCACTGGATTGTCTGGTCCAGACTCGATTATTAACAGATCGCCGTCATATAGCTGGAATATTGTTGAGTGCGGCGTTAAACAACAAACAAAAAATCATAATAACAATCACTGGTTTGTCTTGCCCGGAATCGATTAAGTGTTCGACGGCTGATATTGCTGGAACAGTGCTGACTGAGACGGACAACAAAAAACGAACACGCCACATTTCTTAAGGTGAATCTGGAAGAATTGAAAACCATGATGAAGACGATACAAATGTCTTACTTGGCTGACTGCGGTAAAAAAACAAAAAAAACAAAGAGACCGTTTAATGCTGGCACGTTTATTTTGTTCATGATGGCGATACATGCTCACTTCAAAGAAGATATGAATGCACGTGTCACTTTAATCAAGAGTTATACACATACTCGGCGGATCGGTCAATTCCAACACAGTCTCGTCGCATCTTCCCAAGGCAAGGGCGTTAACTGACTATAAAATATACTTTTGTTGTCAGTAAACTGCCTTGCCTCGAGAAGATGCCTCGTCGTGGTACCTCCGAGGTGTTAGCGACATTTCACAAACGCAACTGTTGATTTATTAGCTGATAATCCGAGGATATGGGTCTTAATGCTTCTACCCCACCCCGAATAAACAATCAGGACAAACTTTTCCAACAAAAAAAAGAGTTTGTTTTCCGTACGAGAACATATGCGATCCGGGTGTTCTGGGCCATCGGTCAAAACCAAAATGGCGGACTCGGTACGTTTACTGTAGAAGATTCCTAGTTTTACTGGATCTTGGTGCTGCAGCAATAGAAACTAACATTTTTATTGCACTAGTCCTTTGAATGATATAACATATAGCAAAACCCTTAAAATGGCAAATTTCTACATGTGCTTATGATTCCTTAACTATTGGGCAATTTGTCAAGGACTATAGGACTAGTGCCAATTTCTAATGCTGTGCCGCCGTCCGCTTTAACGAACTAAGCAGTAAGAGAGTCGTAACGAAGATTATCCGTATTTCTGTATGTGAATGGCAGGCACTGACTTAAGCTGATACAGACTTATAAATTCATTGCTAAAGACATGTTCGTGTTATTTGAAACCTCTTATTGACCAGTCATATTCGTTTGTCAAAACTCCTGGTAAAGTGACACGTGATCGTAGGATGGTGTAATGTATGAGTTTTCCTAGGAGTAAATATGCATAGAAAGTAACAGGTTTAACAACTAACCATGGACATTCCGCAATGCTTGCAATATTCAGCAGTCCCTGATAGGCTAATTGGGTAGATATGCACCATACGCGGTGTTACAACAATTCTACACTGAGACACATCAAGTACTGTGTGTGTTTGATTCAACAAGTGAAATGTTTGTCATGCTGGAGTATTGAGGGTAAAGATGAAAAACATGTAATACGTTTTGGAATAACAGGATGAAAAAGTATATATGTGCAAACAAACTCCACAACAAGGGAGGTAAAAAGTAAAGATATAAGTACAATATTCAAGACTTCTGGGTTGTAGACATTTATCTAGATCAATGTGACGAATGGCATCCTCGGTTGTCAAGGGTGTTATATCTACATGTTGGAATAAATACCTTGGACCCATAAAACCTTCCACAGCTTCATTGTGAGCACGATTGCACGACGCTAAAGATAGCCACCCAATCAAGTAACTCACGTGGGCGACGTGAGGTTCATGCTAAGCTGGATAGGGGACAGGGTGACCGTGACGCCACTTTCGAAACGAAGCTATTTATCGCAGCAGAATGTATATATAATGCCCTGGGTGACCGAGGATGTCCTCTCTCCATCTCGCGTATCAGTAAGTTACCACAGAAACGTTCTGTGTCCTGTCTTTGGAATCGAACTGAAAACAAAGCTATAACAACGAATAGGCTGAGGATATTTAACATGAAATAACAAAAATAATACACTGGATAAACGAGGATGAATGCACGTTGGTCTCAGATGCTTTCCATCGGTCAGATTAATCAAAATAGTATTTAGCATTCTGAACAGGTGCCCTCTAAACCAACGACTTCCCAGAATTCACAGCCTCATAATTCCACTCCACCCCCACCGTGTCTTCCATAGTTTGAGATCCAATGAAATCTGCGCATGCGCAGATATATCAGTTTATCTCTTTTCAAATTAAAAGTAACACAACGGAGAGAAAAACAACACCTGGCATGCCATTGCTTCTAAAACTAAAAAACACAAACCCTTCCCGTTTTAAAGAAAATGGATTCAGAAAAAAACTAGACATCACGCCCTACTGCTACATAAACAAATCTAGCTGCCAATAAGCAGCGGTATGTTTTGAACTGGGTGAATGAACCAATAAAAAATACGTTATTGCAGATTGTGGAATGTTACAACACTCTAATCAGCCCGCAGTGTTGACGAGATTCTAACTCGGTCATCTTCCCGAGGCAAGGGAGTTAACTCACTATAAAAGCCCAGTTTTACAGACAGTTAACTCCCTTGCCTCGAGAAAATGTAACTGGGCATTCAAAGGCCACATGCATACTGTCCATATATTTAGATTTATCATACAATGGGTAGGTTTCTCGGCAGGATAAAGACAACGGATAAAAACGATATCCGTTGCGGTCATATGCGGATAGAGATGCAAATATCAAAGGTCAAGTAGGGACTACTTTCAGTGTTTATAAACAAACATGGCGTCGCACTGTCATTCGGCGATCGAGTCATAATTAACTATCGTGAATCTGGATAAACTACAGGGATAATTTCTACAATTATCAAAAGAACTGTCTAATATACTGAAAATCAGTGTCAGGCAACTGTCAACAACGTCGGAACGTGGCCGTGACGTCTCATAGACTAGGGTTAGAGTAGCTTCCCTTTGACAAAGGGCAGTTACTCTAGCGGACAGACCGATGGATTGCCGCGAAAGGCAAGTAAAAGCAATTGTTGTTTTGCGTAAATGTTGCTTCGACACTTTATAAGACACAGATTTCACTTAGAACTATATTGGCTACTGTCACTGTCCGACTGACACATCACTTAACCCTGTGACGTAATAAATATTAATGCGCGCATTCCAGGAAAACTTGCAATGTTTAGGTAATGTTTGTGAGTGAGGGGAAGCGATTTTCAAGCACAGAATTGAAGAATGACATTATATGATAAAGAGGTTATCACGCTTGTGTGTTTAGGGATGGTAAATATCCTGTATCAGGAATAAACACTATGTATTTAGCTCGCCAAGGCTCGCTAAATACAATGTTTATTCCTAATGGAGGATATTTACCATCCCCAAACACACTCGCGTGATAACCTCTATATACTGGTATATTTCTAGACAACGTTTTGGGTATAACAGAATCCAAATGATAGACAGCTATACATACACAGTGATAACATTTTGCACCAGGTCAACTGTAGTACAGGCAGGAATATCACTTAAAACCATTTTATCAGAGTTGGCTTAGAGTCTTTAAACAAGGAATCGATGTTGGCGCCTGTATTAGAGAAAATATATACTGGCATGTATTTTCTATACCGATGGTTGCTGATGTGGTCAGTTCCCGGCATTGCATAGATGAGGCTGCCAAACCCCTCCCGACCACTCCGGGTATCCGGCATACCACTCAGTTTGTTATGAATGAATGACCATGCGTACTCATAAGCTTAGGACTAAATAGTTTATAGATTTGTCATTCTTTGCAAGACAAAAAGACGAATATTAAATTTTAACATTGAAATATTGGCATCCACATATCCGATAAACACCCTCATACATAAAAAATTAAAAATAAACTTATTTGAAAATTATGTTTGTTGTGAATAAAAAAACACACGAAAAAAGAGAATTCCCTTTCAACCTTCTGCAATGGTGAGTTAGATATTTTACGAGCGCTTCCGGATACTAATAACTTCTCATTCAGCTTCGCATGGTGAAGAGCTCAGCTATATTCTAGCATGTCTATCACTGGTAGCGGCGACGTCAGTCGGATGGAACTAATAATCAGCGTGAAGAACTACCTAACCCGTTAGCACTCTCCATCGCGACCGTAATGTGACCTGTATGAAGTCGAACTATCTCTCTGCTTCTCCATGGCGATCAGTGTGATCCATTCTGCGCCCCGTTGGTTTGTTTCGAGCACATTCTGACGTTGTTTGTCAACGCTCCATGTTGCATTAACATGTCGTCCATTCGGCCGTCAAACAGCCCAAACATCCCGCCTGAAACATTATGATGAGAGTGAGTGAGTATGCTTCTAGCTTTATTCCAGCAATATCAGGGCGGGGGACACCACAAATGGGCCTCACACATTGTACCCATGTCGGGAATCGAACCTGGGTCTTCAATGTGACGAGCGAATGCGTTAACCTCTAGGCTACCCCACCGCCCCTTATTATGATGGAGGTTATTATTCAAAGAACTCACCACATCTGAGCCCCCAAACCCCTAACCCTACACACCTGTGTGTACGAAGAGGACCCTGCGTACCTTGAAGCGATAGGTTTTTTTTTAACTCCTGATCCCCCCCTCCCCCCCCCCCCCCCTCCAAACAAACACACCATTCAGGCTGCCTTGCCCCCCGTGTAGGTGGGGTCGACCAGCACCTCCCCTTCCCTACACCCCCAAACTCACCTGTGTGTAGAAAGAGGACCCTGCGTCCCTTGAAGCGGCCGGGGTTGTTTTTCATCTCCTGCACAAGCCCCCAGGCCGCCTTGCCCGTGTAGGTGGGGTCGACCAGCACCCCTGTTGTACTGCTCACCTCCACAATGAAATCTGACAGAGAGACGAACATCCGTGATCAAATATCAGTAAGTTTTCCTGCTGAATGACGACGGCTTGTCACGAATCGAGTATGGACCAGACAAACAGGTGATTGATATATTGAGAAACTCCCAACACCGTCGAGGTGTCCGATGACATGCAATCAGCCAAGTCAACGAGCCTGACCACCCGATCCATGTACTCGCCTCTCACTATCAGGATACGTTGCTGGGGGGAACTATTCCGATATCCCCACGGGTCAATTTCAAAGATAATCCCGAACTGACAAAAGACCCTGGGAGTAGCCCATTAAGGCCCTCGGGGTGTAAAAAGTGTCCTTGACCTTCAACCTTCCCCAATCAGAACTTGGCCTCAGTATATACTTTCTGAATTACCCTGTCCAAATTTTAAGAGGAAATGACCATTATTGACATCAAAGACAACCATGGCATATAGCACGTGTTGATTTAGTCATGGATACCTTTTTTCTAAAAAGTGATCATCACTGCCTCGTTCTCAATAATTATATGACCCGTGAAGATCCGGGGTAGAATAGGTCTTCAGAAACCCATGCTTGCCGTAAAAGGCGACTAACGGGATGAGGCAGTCAGGCTCGCTGACTTGGTTCATGCATGTCATCGCATCCAAATTGCGTGGGACCCGTGAAAATCCGGGATAGAATAGGTCTTCAGAAACTCATGCTTGCCGTAAAAGGCGACTATGCTTGTCGTAAGAGGCGAATAACGCGATCGGGTGGTCAGGCTGACTTGGTTGATGCATGTCATCGTATCCCAATTTCGTCGATTGATTCTCATGATGTCAATCACTGGATTGTCTGATCCAGACTCGATTATTTACAGAGCGCAGTCATATGGCTGGGATATTGCTGAGTGCGGCGTTAAACAACAAACAAACAAACGATAATTAGATCTCTAGTCGCTGCGATAGGAGACATAAGTTTCTCTCCAACCACTTCCGCTCATGCTGCCAACACTATACCCTTGCCCGTGGCTTTCACCAAAGAGGTAAAGACCTGCGTCATTTCGGGCTTTCGATAAAGCTTACATAACTTTACATAACTGATTTGTTTATATTCTTCAAAGCGGCGTTGAACCAAACTCACTCACTCACTCACTCATACCTAATTCCTCCTGTTTGGAGATGGAGTAGCCCTTGCCCTGGTAGGTGTCAATGACGTCAACGATGTCCTCCGACCTGGCGTCCTCGACCCCCAGTTCACGCAGCGTGCCGTTCACGTGGCGATGGGCGTCCGCGGGGGTGCTGTGGACCATTACGCCATGAATCCTACACGCAGAAACCTCCACGTTTTGACATGTGAATTGTATAAAGCGTGTTTTGTATAATAATAATAATAATAATAAAAAAATAAAAAAATAATAATAATAATAAACATAAATCAAAGAACACTCCAATTCATTCAGAACAAATCAATGTAATCGGCTCACATCGGGACAAAGAAATTCATTCAGAGCATACAAATGCAATTATAGTTACCTTGAACTCTCTATATATATTGATTGAGTGTCGGAGCTTTGGCGCTGGTTTAGAAATATCCCGACGGGGTTCATCAAGTATGGGCTATTCACAAAATGCACCGGAGGGGAATCGGCGCGGGTATATTCAGCGTGAAGGCGAACGATTAAACCACTAGACTACCTCACTGATGAATTCTTTAAATATATGAAAAGAGCTTTATAGAAAATAAATGGCGTTTATTCTACAGTTAGGCAGGGGCGTAAATATAGTCTTATGTTACAACCTTTACGGTACGTACCTCAAGGGTTGGTTGGTTGGTTGGTTGGTTGGTTTGTTGTTTAACGCGGCAGTCAGCAATATTCCAGCTATATGACGGCGGTCTGTAAATAATCGAGTCTGGACCAGACAATCCAGTGATTATTATCATGAGCATCGATCCACGCAATTGGGATCGATGACATGCATCAACCAAGTCAGCTAGCCTGACCACCCGATCCCGTTAGTCGCCTCTTACGACAAGCATAGTCGCCTTTTACGGTTGGCATAGCCTATACAGCTAGGTGAATACAGCTAGGTGAATACAGCTAGACCCGGGTTCGATTCCCCTCGTGGGTAAAACAAGTGAATCCTATTTCTGGTGTCCCAGGTGGTGATATTGCTGGGAGATAACTCCTTCCATCCCCTCTCCCTCTGTACCCCCTCACTCACTCAGCAGCAGAGCCCCAGATGAGCTGGGCATGCGTAAACTTCAAAAAATAAATCACCTTTCACTAACTTATTTTGGTTGCTCTTGTAAGAACACACTGCGTAATGACACATTCTACCATGACATTGATGAATGCTTGATTCTGATTGGTTAAAAAAGGCTTCTTTTTTGCCTTTTCACACAAAAAACGTGCAGATGAATACATCGATAGCCTACACATCGATTAATAAAAACATGTCTGCCGATCGATCACTCCTATATGAACTGTAAAACGCATCTATATTTCCTCTTTTACGCGGGGTCTCAAATACAAGCCAGGGCCCCGTTCAACAAAGCGATCTTAGTGCTACGTTGATCGTAAGCCTATGATAAAGTATGGGAGTTAGGACCAGCTTAGCACTGAGATCGCTTTGTGGAACGGGGCTCAGGTCTCAAAGAAACGCGGCGTCAATGGCTAAAGCGCTCGGCGCCAAATTACAATAAGAGGCGTCTACTCTACAGTGGGACTGCATCAAATTTCAAAACACAGTAGGTTTATCTCCTAATGGAGCTTTTCAACCTGCGTATCAGTATCTCTTCCTACATCGTTATTTACTGTTCAAATGCAGGTCCCACACGTACACAGACTCCACTGCAGTGCATGCAAACAACGGCGCTCCTCGCCGATTGTTCATTATACAGGTGTATCGCTGTTGTGAGTTTATGCGACATGTTAAAGGGTAACGTCGGTTCGATAACTGTACATTTTGCCAATGAAGTTTACAAGTATCGAATGTACATTCGATACCTCTAAACTGAAATCACACACGGTTTATTTTCTTATTTGATATCCACGGAAATCTATCAATCTATCAATGTGAGTAAATACTCAACGGCTAAAACGTTATCTTAGCACTCACTCACTCACTCACCTCAAAGGGGACCCCGCCAAGTGGTTGGCAATACACAGTCCCGTGGTCGTCCCGCCGCTGCCGCAGGTCAGGAAGAGGTCGTCAAATCTCTCCAGGGCGCCCTCGACATAACACAGGAATACGGATAATGTTAACCGTTCTTATAACGGGGAGAAGGAGGAGAGGTATTAAGAAAGCTTATACCATTACTTCGGAACATAATTGGTTTTCATTGGTCAACCGATAAGCTGTGCAGAGTTGCGTCCCTTGGGCACGCCAGAAACCTATGATTGTGGGTTCGAATCCCGGTTCGCCCCGATTATGTTTCTAGGTTTGTCAGCACCATACCCGTGCTCGTGGGTTTCACCGAAGTGGTAAATGTCTAAGACCTGCATCACTTCGGGCTTTCCTTCCACATTAAGCTGACACGCCGTGATATAACTGGAATCATTTTAAAAGCGGCGTAAAACCCAACTCAATCACTCGCTCACTCACTCACCAATTGGACTGACAACAAGTCTTTCTTCCTTTTGAGCATTTACAAGTTTTGGACATTTGTGTAGATGAATAAAAAATGGCCAAGGGAATTATCTAACAGTTCCTTGACGGACACGAGACGAATGTTACCTGTATCTGAAAATCAGCTGGGGTCAAAGACACACTATCTTATAATTATTATGTTTTTGCTAATAACATGTACTCGTCTCACCTGTCTGGAGAGCTCGTCAAATATCGCCATGGTACCAAACACGCCCATCAGATTGGACCCGCCCTTTGGGATGAGGTAGGATTTCTCGCCTGTATCATCCCTACAACCAACAGCATCAGGCATTAGGAATCATTGCGACCCCCCTTCCCCTTTATTTCGAAGTGAGAAATTGATGAGAGTATTTCTTAAGTATGTGGAGGATATTTCCAAATTTCCAAATTTGATGCATCGGTGACAAAAATGATGTCCGATGCAATTCCCTTTTTTGATTTGTGTCATATGTTCCCATGTTTTTTAGATGAACATTTGACTTGCCTTTGCATGTGTTTGTGACGGGTGCCACCGGTTTGGGCAGGATATGCTCACCTTTTCGCGAACACCTGTTATCATCACTATTTGATAGTGATTCATACATGCTCATGATATTGTCGGAATCGTTCAATCGACTCTGCTTTGGCCAGAGATTTCTATTGAATATGGAAAGTTATTTTTCGTTTTTATTTAAGAGCGAACTCGGTCGGGGTCGAAGTCCTTGTGTTTTCAGTAAACAACAAGGTGACGGGTGATATCTCCAGACTGGTTCCCTTGCTTGGATGCTATTGCGCTACGGTGCACGCGCATCACACCCAAGGGACCAGGCTCGAAATAGCGCCGCTTGTTTCAATCGAAAAACTATGGTGTAATTTGATTGGATGGCTATTTTTAGCGTCGCTTCAATCGAACCGGGCATTGCTTGTGGCGAAAGAGTCTAGGGTTTTTATCACAACAGAATAGAGAAAGAATACATTCTGATAATCGGGCATGTACTATAGGGTAGTGAGTTCGGGTAAATGCAACTAACATAATCTTTTTAGCCAAGGACTCCATTTTAGGATGGACGTCCCTCTCATCATCCGAGTCTAGCGGCATCATGTAGATGTCAGCTCCAGACAGGCGGTCCAGCAGGATGTTACCACGGCAACCGACATCGTCCGATGTCTGTAAAACCAATCAGATGATTCGTTACAATGCATTTCGGAGTGAGTGTATGTTGTCTAACGCCGCAGTCAGTGACGCTTTATTAGAGCAACATTTTCATAAACGAGACTGGTCCACACAAGCCAGTGACCGGAAACACGAGTCTGACATACAAATTAGTGCGTGAGTGAGTGAGTATGGTTTTACGCCGCTTTTGGCAATATTTCAGTAATATCACGACGGGGACACCAGAAATGGGCTTCACACATTGTACCCGATCGAACCCGGGTCTTCAGCGTGACGAGCGAACGCTTTAACTACTAGGCTACCCGACCGCCCCGACATACAAATTAGAAACACTGACCGAGAAGGGTGGATCTTTCTTAATATTCACAGTTTATTGCCATGGCCAGCAGTCGAGAACGTCCGGTTGGTCAGTGAAGCATGACATTGTGGATGAGACGCGGGATACTGCTTTCTTTCTTTCTTTGTTAACGCCGCACTCAGCAATATTCCAGCTACATGACGGCGGTCTGTACATAATCGAACCTGGACCAGACATTCCAGTGGTTGACACCATGAGCATCGATCCACGCGATCGGGTTACGACGACGTGCATCAACCACGTCACCGAACAGGTACCCGTTCCATTTAGTCAAGTCTTTCGACTAGCGTGGGCTACACAGAATTTATATTCCTATCCGGATACCTACAAGTCGCTTGGTCAATGGCATGGGCAGCCACCCACACCATCGGGATGCGCGATCAACCTGGGCGCACATTGTAAACAACCGCTCCTACGTGTTGTCGGCTTCAGCGACAGGCACGTGGCTGTGGGGGAGTTGTCTGCCCAGAAAATAGCCAATGTGGCGGTAGTAGTACACCAATTTAATCAAAATCAAATCTTAGTGCTCGCTACTGCTACACAAAGATCTGAGGACAATCTATTACAGGTCACGCCAGAACGACCTTTCATTCGACCAATCAGAGCGTTCCTCGCGAGATCACGAAAGCGAAAGTCCAAATGTGTTTTGTAATCATGCAACCAAGTAAAGGTTAACACGGGGCATTCCGAACGATGTTACGGGCTTTTCGACTGATTCCGAATGCTAGATTTGTACATGACATGCTAGACATTTGAAACGGAAGATACTTTCCATAGCCCTGACCTACTGCAATACAACCACGATTGCCTGGTCCAGACTCGATTATTTACAGATCGTTGTCATAAAGCTGGAATATTGGAGTGCGGCGTTAAACAACAAACAAACAAACAAACACACAAACTCAGCCATCTATTAGACATTCCAGAATTTTCTTTTGTTCAGTTTTCAAATGTTGAATAGTCAACATTGTCAAAATATATTTTTCAAAACGTAGATTTGAATGGAAGACGCCATTTGGAAACTAATGCCGTAAAGCACGAGAAAGGTGCTTTCTGATTAGCTAATGTCGACTTCCTGTTTGATTCCTGTCATTTCATTGGTCACTCAACGTAAATGAAAGGATGTTCTGACGTGACCTGTAATGGGATGTCCTCAGATCTTTGTGTGGCGGCAGCTGGCACTAAGACCTGATTTTAATGACCGGTTAAATCTACAGGTAACCGCATTTTACACTGAAAACACAGTATGTTTATCTCCTTAATGAATTTGATCATAAGGATCAAAAACAAATTACTAAACTGACCTTTGCACCGGAAGTTAAAAATAGATGAGGAATAAGTCCAAGCTGTCTGCACGCCAAAGCCAAAGCTCGACAGTGATTGGATGGTGCCCCACCACACGTGATCACGTGCTTGCATCCCTTTGAGATCGCATCTGCAAGGAGGAATTCTAGCTTCCCTACCTGAAATGAAACAATAGACAAAAGTTCTTTCAAAAATAGGTCATTTACCGTTGTTTGGAGGAGTGGTAGAAATGTACACTCTTATACCATGTGATGTCATACCCGAGATGACGTCAGAAACACTGTGATATCATGGATGCCACATGGACATATACTAAAGGGGAAAAGTTACTATTCTTCATATAAAGTTCAATAAAAATACGTTTATTCTGAATTTAAATAATGCATCTTTCAGTACATATTCACGAAGACACCTCGACTTAAGGTCGTGCTGTACAATTTCATGCATAGCGCACAATTTGGATGTTTGCGTGTTTGTTGGGCGCATGATACTCACACACGTGTTTTATAGCTGTGAACAACACACACTGATTGTTTAGCTATTAAGTGCTCATAGGAAATATTTTGTTTAACCAATAAAACATTGGTCAGACGAATGATCATATATTATTTTGTTATGTTCACTAACAGAACATTTACAAAACTTGATATGAAGCACAGTTTTTTTTGTCCGTTAGTATACTAAGACGAGTCTGTAGAAGTATATATCTCCTTGATACAATAAAGCGACAGTGGGTCTGTACAAGTCTTGTATTTCCCCCCGGTACAGTAAAGCTAGTCCGTGCAAATAAGGGTGTAAAATAATATTGTCAGTTCAACTCGTACATTAAATTCCCCACGTTCAGTAAACTCCGCCTATTGTGGTGGCTGAATCCCAAGGTCAAGGACACATGCCGTCTTGCTTCAAGCCTTCGGGTGGAGACTAGAAATGAAGACGTATAACAGAGCCACTATTAACATGCACCTGGAGTATTTACATTTGTATAAATTGTTTGAAAATACGCAGGCAGTATTTTTAACAGCTCACTAAAACGGTTGAATTCGTTTCATAGCAAATTTATTCTTTTGTCTATTTTTCAATGTGTGCACTCTTTTACGTCAACAAAGGGCTAAGATGTTCAACGGTCGGTAATATAGTGAAAGACGAGCCTCGGGAGATATAAACACAAGAGGGCAGGCTGCGTGCTCGGTTTACGGCTGAACGAGTTTTGCCCGCGTGGATACCAGCGTCTGTTCCGGAAGACGATCGTAGCGCTGCGTTTGTCAATGTACAGGATAAAACACGTCTCCTCAGGTTTGGTTGAAAATGTAAAACTTTGAGCTCGAGAAAAGCCCTCGGGCCGAAAACGAGGGCTGGTCTCGAGCTCAAGGTTTTACATTTTCAACTAAAACCGAGCAGGCGTGTTTTATCCAGCTTATGAGCCGCCTACCTGCAAGAAATACCAGAAAATAAGAAAACATTACAGTGTATCGCGGTATTACATGAATTAGCTCAAAGCGTGCGAGAAGAAAAAAACACACGTGCAGCATGGACTAGCTGGAGTCAGGACATGATAAAATGAACACCTTTTCATCATCTGCCCCGATAGCTCAGTGGTAAGAAAATGGGTTACAAAACCCTAACACGATATGTGAGGTTGCAGGTTCGATTCACGTCATGTGACTTTAATCCATGTGTTCACATCAAGAGGCAAGTTTATAGAAACGTTAATTGTAAAACCAAGGTATTACAATTGAAATGCATTCATCAGGTCCCGGGCATTCCACCGGAACACTCTGGGCATTGTTGATATTGCCTGCCTCGGAAGTTTACCAACAGTTTGAACCTTATCAGAGGAGTTTAAGCTGAGCCTGAGGGAGCACCTGTCTCCCTATTCGGCGTCCGGGCTATACAGGGCACAGCCTACCTAGTTTCGATCCTATTGTATCTTGGATATCCATAAAAAGGGTTAACGTTACCTTGACAGCCGAACTATCTGTCTTAACTTTGTTGATGACTTAGTGACATTGTCACTCTACTTAAACTCCTCCTTGATGGGTTCTAAGAAACGGGGGGCGGTGGGGTAGCCTAGTGGTCACAGTGGTCACTCGTGTTCGATTCCCCACAATTGTACAATGTGTGAAGCCCGTCCTCATTGCGCTCTAACGCCTGATACTATGCCCCAGGCGATTAACCCATCTTCATCACCCCAGCTGCTTAAACAAGATGCTAGGAGTACAATCAACTACCTTCTGATGAACTGTCAACAGCTTACCCTCACCTAGTCTGGAAGTAAATTTAAGGTACCGGCGTTTACTACAATATCTGCATATTCCCGTGCAACCTTTCGAGTTGAGTTGATTGGTTCAACTGTGTCATATGGCCCTGTGACGCAGGGGTAGCATTATGCAGATGGCTGTTACAATGAATGCTCGTTCCACCCGTGACGAACAGGTCTGGTTGTTGATGAAATATAGTGATAGCTAAATAGACAGATTTTTTATTCATGCACCGATTGTCTTTAAATGTAATATCCAGTTATGTATAACTGTTTAATAATCTCATACCAACTTTGACTGGAGTAGGTCCGATAGTTTTTCAGATATTGTAGTAAACGTCGGTACCTTAAATTAACTTCCAGACTTATACACCTACACTCCCGGTCAGTGATTGTATATGCCATAAGCATATTCTTGACATGGATATTGTTCTGGACACACTGTTTGAATAACTCTTATTAGATCCCGATTATAGCTCGACAACTAGGCCTCTAATGGTACAACTTCAACCTGTAAATACAATTCTAAAGTCGCATTTACAAAAAAATAATATGAAAGAAATGTTTTTGAAACAACAGTTCATATTTTCGTGATTTTCTTTTTTAATTAATCTAGATATTACTTATAATTGAAATGATACAAAAATATTTCCTTCTTTCACCTGCGAAAGGTTAGCCTATAGTTTCCTTGTATTAAATATAGCCTACTCCACACTTTTTGAGCTTTCAAATTTAAGCATTAAAATTATCCACTTATATCACGCTTCAAGATTTTATTAAACTTGGTTTTAACCATTAACAACGCATCACAACACAACGAATCGATGCTTGTATGACATGGCCCCCATATATCGAGTGATCGAAAATAGGTTTGTTGAATTGATGTGCTGCCAATGAAAACCAACGTGATTAAATCTACGTGTACGTTACTATAATCTTGTTAATTATTAAGAATTAATAACGATGTCCGATAATGAGCGATGTCAATTTGAGAGGATTGTTTGAGCTGTTTAGGAATCTTTTATATTTTGTCCTTTGAAACTGTCCGATGTCAATCACCCCGAAGTTGTTTTTATCATAGTGACTGATGAAAAAGCACTGACGTAACCGGTGTTTATTCAAGATATATAATCCGAACTGTCCTTCGTATTGTTACAGAATCTTTGAAACAGTCTGCCTATGAACTAATCACGACCACTTTAATCAATTTCGAAAACACTGACAATTTCAACGGGATTTTTTATCGGTAAATTAAACTCGCGGACAATACTCAATGAATGTTTACTTTGACATACATGTCATGTGTATATCACCGTTAGGATATGTACTATCCAATGACATGAATTATTGGTGATCTAGATTTCAAACAAGGGCGCTTGCTAGACTTTACTTTCCACATTCCAGGGCTTCAGTCCAGTTAATGTAAAAATACACAGCAAACATAGAATACCGGCTCTTAAAACGTTGGCTAGGCGGTGCATATGATATCTTTTGGATTTTCTGAATTTAGATACCGTTGGGGAGACAATCAACTCTAGTTGAATGCTATACAATGTGGTTACACTGTGTGAAGAAATAAGAACGTTGTAACACTTGTTATACAATGAATACGTTTTTGAAACCGCGACATCATCACAGCGCGGCACTGAGCAGTTTACAAAGCCAGATGACGGCCAGGCGCCATGAGGGCTAAGCGGTTCTGGAGAGTGCGCAGACTTCTGCCAAGAGCATCCCAGACGTGTTCCATGGGATTGAGGTCGGGAGACCTTGACGGCCAGTCCATGACGTTGACTCCCGCATTCTGAAGGAAATTCCTTGTCAAAATTGCTGTTGGGTCTGGCATTGTCGTGTTGGAAGATCAAACCGGGTTCATGACTGTGCTGCCATAAAAGGCAGAAGTTCTGGTGCCAGTACCTGGTCGCGGTAAGCAGCAGCGTTGAGGTTAACACGGATGACAAGAAGCCTGGAACGTGCATTGCCACAGAAAGCACCCCACACCATGACACTTAAATTCCGCCTCGAAATCTGTCAATTTCCTGTACACAACACTGGGCGTAACGTTCATGACGGCGCCTCCACACCCTCGCCCTACCATCAGCAAATCGAAGATTAAATCAGGATTCATCACTGAAGACGACTTGATTCCAATTCGAAGTCCATCGTAAGTGTCGCTGTGCCCACAATTGACGTTGATGTCTGTGTAATTGAGTCAGAATCGACCCGCAGTATGGCCGTCGTGCTTGAAGGTGAGCGGTTCTCAGACGGTTTCGAACAGTTTGTGCACTCAGTCTACCCCTAAACAGTTCATTTCTGGTTGATGTAGCCGTCAAAAATCGGTTACGGAGGTGACGTAAGACAATCTGACGATCCTCTGCATGTGACGTCACACGTGGTCGACCTGGCCGAGGGCGATCAGCGGTGGTACCCGTTTGCTGTAGACGCGTCTGTATATCATAAAAAGTCCGTCGACTACAACCCATCGTCCTTGCGACTTTAGCTACGGACGTTCCCGTCTGCAACATGCCGATGGCACGTTCACGTTGCACATTTGAAAGGCGTGGCATGACAAATGGCTGTAAAGACTTTTGTTTTCTTGTGTTTTTCTTTTTTTGTTAATGACAGCTAACAAGTATGGCTGAAAACACGTGCGGTATTATGGCCACGTGACCAGTTGCACGTGGAAAACCACTTTTGCCACTATAGTGCTGTGCACATGATTTTGATCGATTCACCTGCACAAAACGGGTGTTATCTGAAGACAATACGTAGCCATTACTGTTTAAATACACAATAAGGGCCCACAATGATAACTGGTCAAAATGTTAAAATTTTAGGATTGTGAAGTTTTTAATTTGGTTCAGTATATATCGACTTTATTAGGTACAATAAATTTACTAAATA